TCTTAATGTTAATGCCTTGCTAGAGGGGAAAAATCACCTTAACTTGACTAAGGCAAGGCCTAGGATATCTTTCAGGTCCTCTTTAGCATATGAAAGTTCTTTCAAAATCTCCTTTTTTCCTTACCTCTCCCAACCCTATAGTATATAATCAGCCACACCTCGCAACCCTGACCACGGGTCCTGTCCCAACGCTTTAATAAACCGCCATTTTGCATTCAAGATGTTTCAAGAATTCTTTCTTGGTCATTGGCTCCAGATCCCACCCCACGGAACCTCACCTGTATTCCAAAACCACATCAGGGACCACACTGCAAAATGAAAGAGGAGTGCTGGTCTCACTCATCAGCCAGAGAGACCAGTACCTCTAATTCTTTACATATGGAACTTGACATGCTTCCTCTGATTCAACCCTCCAGAGTTGCTCTTTGGTCACTGGAGGAAGAGAGGCCTTGGGACATTCAGGCAGGAAGAATGACCTTTTTCGGGAGAGAGAAATATGGACCTTGTTGTAAGATACCAAACTTTAAAAAAGTTTAATATAGAGAATGGGTGGTTGTCAGAGGGGAGGGCAGGTGGGAGGATGGCTGAAACAGGTGAAGGGGATAAAAAGTGCACCTATCATGATGAGCAAGCAGTTAGTACAGAATTGTTGAATCACTATATTGTACACCTAAAACTAATAAAACACTGTATGTTAACTATACCTGAATAAAAAGATAATTATTTTTTAAAAAGCTATGTAAAAAGGGAGAAAACAAAACTTTGAAAAGAGATCCCAATATTTGTTCAGAAAAATATTAGAGACTGATGAAAGCATCACAAAGTTTGTTAGTTCAGAGTTTGTATTTTATTTGTTTTTCATTTACTTACTTTTTTCCAGAGTTTACATTTTAGAAAATGTGACTTGAAACCAGCTCTTCTCTTGAGAATAGGGTCACAGAAGATGAGCCTCTGCTCCCAAACTTCTCCTGTTCCATAGGGCACTTTATAGTTGAGGGATAACCCCTTCAAGTTTCTGCCATGTCCTGTGTCCTTTTTGCCTCTCAGTTGGCACAATGGGGAAAAGACTCAAAGAGGAAAGTCACATGGTGGCAGACAGAGTGCAAGGGGCTGGTAGTCAGGAGACCCTCTACTCTCAACTCTGAAATCCATGTGCTATGGGAATTAGGGCAAATCCCTTCTCCTCTCTGGGCCTCAGGATCCCCGTCTATGAAGTTAGAGCTGTTCCAGCTCCAGGTTCATATCAGAAAAGCTAAAGAGCTAACAGGGTCAGGATTTGGGGAAAAGGTGAAAAGAATGAGCAGCAGAGGCAAAACCCTTTGGCCTGGTCTCTGGGAAAGGTGACTCACTCAGGCCCACCCAGAATTGCCCATCATTCCTAGCTTGCCACACCCATTTTCTCCCCTGACCTCCTTGGGAAGAGAATTTCTGAAACGTCCGTAGGTGGATTGCCTTAGTCATCAATTCAATAGGAGCTATTGCCAGGAGCACAGGAGTCATGTGGCTGATTTATTTGCACCTAGTGAGCTCATCTGTTTGAAAGCTGTAAAGAGTCTTGACAAAACTAGGTGGACACAGAGACAGCAGTTTTCCTGTGTGTTGCCTCTACCAAAGGCCAGGTCCACAGCTTTCTGGTACTTTGCATTGATCCAGTAGTATTTCTGATACATTCCAACCTCTATGGCCCTCTCACTGACATCATCTCTTCTCTTCCACCCTGTCTACATCTGTTACCCATCAGAAGATCTGCTCTGTCCCTTCTCTAACTCTCCCAGCATCAGATGGTTCAGTGGCTGTCAATCCACGTGACCATGACTGTGACAAAGATACTATTCCTTTCCACTATTATATACAATTGTAGGCCAGCCCTTGTATTATCCGACTGTTTTATGTAACTTGCTCCACCAAAATTGCAAGTATTGTACTTCATAAAATACTTTTATCTCCTAAGAGGATTCTATTTTCAAAGATTACTAGAGAAGAGTTTTACATTCTGGCTTGAAAACCTCCTTTATTACACTGCATTCCTGACAAGAAACCTCCAGGAGTATCTGCTTAGCCCCAGAAATTATCAGTCTTTATCCTAAATTAGATAAAATAAAATGTCTAAGTGGCATGTAGAATGAATTCACCTCTCCAAATCCCACACCTCAGACCCTCCAAGGACATTCCCATACATGTGGGGTCTAGGAGGATAAAAACAAAATAATTCATTTGTTACCCCTAGAAGTGATCCTCTTGGGATGAACTTGATCTGACTTTCCTTAGCTAAATCAGCATGTAAGTATCATTTGACCTGTCCACTGAGATTCAAGCTTTTGACTAGAGCTCTTTCCTTTCTTTGTTGACCTTACATGCATTCTTTTGGACTTGCAGTTTCTTTTATGGCAAAGACTGAAAGATGCATACATCTAGCTAAAAGGCAATCTGATTTTCTCTCACTGCCCAAAGCTGGCAAACAACCGTCATCTAGTCCTGAGTGGGGAGTGTAGGGGTCTCTTCATGTGGGTGAGAGTATATAAGTGGAGGCATGTCTAAGCTAGATGACCAGCTGCCAGAGGATTCGACACTGACTGGTGGCTGGAAATCGCAGTCCTGATGGTTTTTGCAAACTTGCAACCTCGAAACTCTAAGAGACTCTATCCCATGCATGGAGAAAGGCAAGGAGGACAAGCCTAACCTCCTAGAGCCCTTGTCCTTGCACTCGGTCAAATCCTATGTTAAAGGGTTCTCGTGTAGATGCAGTCCTCGTAACGAAGCTTCAAGTTCTCCAGAGGCAGAGCACACTGCATTTCTTCTGCTCTAATCTCTACAGTATATCGCCTAGAGCTCAGCAGTTAACAGGGGTTCAATAGTCACCACATTGTTTTATCCTTTCAATGGCATGCTTTAAAGTTATGAGGGAAGTAATATTTCAGGGATATGGAGATACAGTTAAGACATGGTCCCTACACACATACACACACCCCAAACATCAGAGTTTAGCAAGACTGACCTGTAATAACAGAATTTATAACACCGTTATGGTTGTTGGCCTACCCATATACCACAGTTATGGGTGACGGAAATTCAGACAAGGAAACTGTACATTTTTAGCTGGTGAGATGTATTAATGAAGACTTGACAGATGAGATCCTTTGGACCTGGGACTCAACCGATGGTTAGTGTTTTAAAAGATGAAAAGTGAATAACTAAAAACTCAGATAAGTAGAACACTCCATTCAATGACCACAGAATATACATTCTTCTCAAGCGCATACGGAGCATTCTCCAGGACAGACCATGTTAGGCCATAAAACAAGTCTCAAGAAATTTAAAAGAAATCAGATACAGTCCCATTGAGAAACAACTATTAGCTGTCTATCTTGCACCACAACACAGGGAGGACTGACTGCTGACCTGCCAGTGGTAATACAAACCTCTGGGCCAATAGCAGGATAGATTAAGGGATTAAGGATGTGTTCAGCAAACATAAGAATGCCTGTGCCCAAGTAAGCACCTTACAGAAATGGCACACTTACCGACAGCACAGGAGCACTTACAATATCAGCCTGCTATCTCATGAACTGCACTCATTATAAGGGCCGATCGCTTATGTCAACTCAGCCCAACTTCCAGAATTTGGTGACATTATGTCTCTTCTCCCCCAAGCAAAGAATGAAGGTGCAGAAGACACATGGTATACTGATGGCAGATCCCAGGGAAACCTGCCTCTTAGGCATTCCTGTGCCATCCAACTAGATTCTAATGTACTTTGGCTTGAAGAAGGAACTAAACAAAGTAGTCAGTGGGCAGAGCTGAGAGTGTTATGGACTGTGTTAACACATGAACCCATGCCCACTGATTTGAGATCTGGCTACTGACAGCTGGGCAGTGTGGAAAGGGTTAACAACGTGGATGCTGCAATGGCACAAAGGAAGCTGGGCTATATTAAATAAAGCCCTATGGGGAGCAGACCTCAGGCAATATATTTGGGTTGTATGCACTAAACCTGATGCAGCTGCCCATGTATAGCAGGTGTCTGCTCACTCCCTACCCACACTGCCAGGCAATCATGAAGCAGATGCACTAGCCTGGGCAAGAGCCCTTCTGCTGGAGGGAACTTTGACTCTGTCTGATGCCATAGGATGGGTCCACTGTAAATCAAAGCACTGAGGTCCCCAATCTACTTGGGAAATAGTAAAAAGATTACATTTGCCTTTTAAAATTTCCAACGTATGAGCTGTTGACAGACTGCCCCCAGTGCCACCTCAGACAAGGGCTGCTGTGCCAATACCCCTACCCTGGGGTACAGTGGGCAGATTACATGTCCTCTGTCTCATGGGCAAATAGATTACACAGGCTTTTTGCTGATATGGGAAGGGCACAAATTACCAGTATCAATCTGGAGGATAGTTCACTGTTCCTCCCCCACCTTCTAAACACATGAGAAAAACATGCAGTAAACTAGACAGATATTTCCACCAAAATAACAAATGACCAATGAACACATGAAAAGAAACTCAATATTATTAGCTATCAGGGAAATGCAAATTAAAACCACAATGATATCCCACTTCACACCCACTGGGATAATTATAATCAAAAGATGGACGATTTATGACATGTGTAGGTATAGATGTGGGTAAACTAGAACCCTCATGCATTGCTTTTGGGAATGTAAAATGATGCAGCTACTTTAGAAAACAATTTGGCAGTTCCTTAAAAAGTTAAACATAAAGTTACCATAGGCCTTGGCATATACCCCCCAAAATTCAAATCCTATGTCCCAAGAAAAAAACATGTACATGAATGTTCCTAGTAACTTTATTCATAATAGCAAGAAAGAAGAAACAACCCAAATGTTCATCAAGTGATGAATGGATATACAAAAATGTGGACTATCCATGCAGGGGAATATTATTTAGCCATTAAAAAGTAATGAAACACCTATTCATGCTAAGACATGTATGAACCTTAAAAACGCTGTGCTAAGTGAAAAAAATCAGACGCAAAAGTCCACATATCCTATGATTCCATTTTTGTGAAATGTCCAGAACAGGCAAATCTAAAGAGAAAGAAAACAGAGTGGTGGTTACTGGAGAGGTCTGGGGTAGGAGGGTAACAGGGAATGATAAAGAAAATCACCTATATTTGGCATGATGGAACGTTGTTCTGGAATCAGTTAGCAGTGATATGGTGATGGTTATACAACTCCGTGAATATATTAAAAACCGCTAAACTGTAAACTTTGAAGGGGTGAATTTTACAGTATATAGATTATACTTCAATGTTTTAAAACTCAAAATAAGTCACAGAATCAGAATCAGTGTGATATACTTAATATAGAACAAAGTGCAACTAATCACCCTTATTAGATTGTTTGCTGTGATAATAAAGAAGAACAGAGCACAGAAATCCAATAGATTTCAGTAATTCATTCCACAAAAGTTAATGGGGCTCTTGCCATCCAATCCAACCGTGCTAGTTGCTGCAGAGTGTACAAATCTGAATGGTCCTTGGCTCCTAAGGGTCTTAGAAGCTAATTGAGAGACTGAGAAGCTAATTGAGAGGCTTAGTAGAGTGGACTGACAGCCCAAGCAGGGTTGGCTGTGCTCGTCTACCTAAGCATGGCTTGTCGCAGCAGGCCACCAGCTTCCAGTCCTGGGAGCCACAGACAGTCCTCCCTGGAAAGGGAATGACTGGTGAGATGAAGGCTAACAAGCTACCCAGGAAAGAGACACTTGAATAAATTATAGAATGAAATCACGCCTTGATCTCCCACATAAGAAAGAACAGTTGTGCACCCTTCTGTCTGGGGCCCTTGACTGAGAGGGAAGGATTGGGCCAGCTTACTCTGACCCCTGACCTAATCTTAGTGCAAGATCTTCTAGATAAGGGGACAGGGGAGAGGGTAAGTTAAGAGACAGGAAACAGGAAAACATGGGTTATCATGCAATAGGTTTTATCAGAGATTAAGAAAATGAGGGGAAGGGGATAACTTTTGAAAAGTACAACCTGGGTGGAAAGAGATGGTCCCACTTTAGCAAAGTGATGGAGAGTAGAGACATAGCCTGGCCCGTGTGAGGCTTGATGGAATAACAAACAGGGCCTAGCTTGGTACTGAGTGATAGGAGAGAGGACAGCATCACACACAAAAAGCAGACTGAGCATGATGGTTCACTCATGTTGCAGGAACAGCAGTGTAGAGGAGACAGGGCCAAGACCACAGTGATGGGAAGAGAACAAAGTCTGGGACATGGTGGATATAGCAGGAAGATTCTAGCCTTCATGATGGGTACAAAAACTAGTCTGTTAATCACCATTTTCATCATTAGCTGTGCCTCCCTGACTCTTCCCCTCTATAAGTTTGTGGGCCCTGGGAAACTGAGGTTACACAGAATACAAAGCAAAATGCTAGAAATGCCCCAAGACAATACAAAGTGCTACGGAAAGGAGTGTGTTTCAAGAGGAAAAGTGAAGTTGGGAAAGATTTTACTCATAAAGTTAGTAGCACATGAACTTGAAAGGATGTGAAAGATTTAAAAAACTGCTTCCTGGTCACAGTAATATTTAGTTTCAGAAGTATAGAAAAACACGAAGAAAAAAAATGAAAAGCTCAAATTATTCTACTACTCAGATAAAAGAACCATTAACATTTGAGGGGTTTATCTTTCCACATTCTGTTCATTTATATCTGTTTATAAATACCTACATCTAACTATATAGGCATATAGATATTAAAAGTACATTGTGTCTGTGTACACCTATATATACACACACACATATATATTTTTTTAAATATTTTATTTATTTGAGAGAGATCGCACGCAGAGGGAGAGTGAGAGGGAGAAGCAGACTCCCCACTGATCAGAGAGCCACATGCAGGGCTCAATCCCAGGACTCTGAGATCGTAATGGAGCTGAAGGTAGACACTCAACCAACTGAGCCACCCAGGCGCCCACACACATATTTTCATATTTCCAAAAACACTTGTGATTGATAAGGATCTGACAGGGAAACAGAAGGTGAGACAGAGAATCAAAATAGGTAGGGGAAAAGAGCACTGGAAGGCAATGGAGCATTCCAGAAAAAACATTAACTAAAGAGGACTGGCTTCAAATCCTGCCTCTGCCTCTATGGAAACTCTAGCAAGTTACTTCATTGTGCTAATCCTCAGATTCCTCTTGTGTAAAATGGGTATACATATACCCATATACATATGGGTATACATATATCAATATGTAGATGACAGAGCCACTTTCATGATCAGAGACATGACAGCACCTCAAGTACATAGCAGCGTGCCTAGAGAACGGTAGGCACGGAGCACGTGACAGGGTAGAACAGGCTGTTTGGGCCGCTGCGTGTGGCTCTGCTCGCTTCTGGTCCGAGATACTTGCAGGTAATGGAGAGGTCAGAAACAACTCACTCACTGCAGCCCATGGGTCACAAGGATTCCAGATCTCAGCTAACTGAAGAACAAATTATCCAGAAGTGGTAATAAATCTTTTAAAACTACTTACCAGCCCACTCAATTTCTAGAGAAATCACTGCATAGTACACACACCACAATCAGCTGTTTCACTCTGATCAGCCCTATTATACTAGGCAACAGGCCAAGGTTACTAGTTCACATTTTTAATGGTTATTCTAATGTTCTTCATGCTTGAAAAATTTCTCTGGCCTCATAAACCAAAGTGGCAGAAGGACTATGATGGCTAGTACTTGACTGATTCACTGAGTGAACTTGGGTCAGACAGATAATCTATCTTTCTTGTGTCTCCTGAAACAAAGCAGATGGGTTTCTGTCCCTGAGCAGAAGCATCAGCATAGGGAGAGTAACTCAGGGCCACCAATTTGGTTGAAGTGTCTGTTTGCATATCCGTCTTTCTGCAAAGCTATAACAGTAATTGTCCATCCATCTCTGCTGAAGGAGACCATTATTCTGTCCTCACTGTGATTAGGATCATTTTAGATATCAACTACATTATGAGCTCTCGTTTCATTAAGCCACTGAGGCAAACAGATGGTGCCTTGTAATCAGGGTGTGGGCAAAATGACTTGGAGAGCCTGGAGATCAGTCAACAAAAACCTATTTGCAGTGCCACTGAGGATAGCAATGCCTCCCAGAAGAGACACCTCATTCTTAGAGAATTAGCAGACTATAAAAATAGCCCTAAATCATTGTTGAGAGAGAGTGAGGGGAAGCAGAGAGGCAATCAGTATCCAAGGCAGTAGGGCAGAAGCAAGGGGGTGCTGTGAGAGGATGACTGTGTAAAGGGTGGTGACCAAGAGAATTAAGAAGCCATGGGAGCCTATAGGCCCCGCCTAGCTACTGCAGCCCCAGTAGCTGAGATGTAGCCCATGTCACTGAACTCAGTGACTCATCTCTGCAAAGAGGCTGCAAAGAGACGGTCATTCAGCCAGTACTGACTGGAGGCCTCCCACGTACAGGATGCCACTAGGCTAGCACTGTAGGCAATACAAAGATCCCTCTAACAGAGGCTCTGCTGCACAATGCTGGCAAGCCAATGTTCACATATAACTGTGGTACTCAACATCATGTCAAGAGCCAGAAAGCAGCTAGGGAGGGAGCCCAGGGAGAAAAATAATGTTTATCCTTTCAGATAGAAAGAGCTATTTGCTTATGATAAGCAAAGCTTTTGCTTCCAGTAATCAATTGTATTTTCATACAACCTGTGCAAATACAGATCATAAGGGGCGCCTGGGTGGCTTAGTCCTTAAGCGTCTGCCTTCGGTTCAGGTCATAATCCCAGGATCCTGGGATTGAGCCCCACATGAGATTCCTTGCTCAGCAGGAAGCCTGCTTCTTCCTCTCCCCTTCCCTCTCTTGCTGTGTCTCTCTCTGTCAAATAAATAAATAAAAACCTTTAAAAAAATACAGATCATAAATATAAGGCAATCTTTAAGATTCTAAGTTTTTTAATTTAAAAAGTCAGGATATTAAACACAAAACTGAATATTTTCTATTAAAGGGCATAATAACAGAATATATGAAATATAAAATTATATAAATTTTTAAGAAGGAATGATTGTGTTGTTAATCCCAAATCTGAGTGTCTTCAAAACAAAGCCAGCAGGCAGGAGAGCTTCATCTAAATTAGGGGAGGTCTATGCGGACTCACCCCACCTGCCTATCTATCTCCCCTGCTCCCTCCCTCAAAGAACAAAAAAGGAATTTGAGGAGCTGCATTGAATCTAAGATCCATTTTTGTGTGTTTGACAACCTCACAGCTTTTTGTTTGAAAATATTGTCAGTGAAAACAGTATTGTGTTCCACCCTAAGATGATATAAAAGCATTTCCTTATTTGATCTGTTTAAGAGCTTTCCTATATAAATGAACCTCTTAACATCACTGCATACAGGAGTCAGGCAAATCTGGGCCAGTTTGGTCAGAGCACATTACTATGAGAGTAAAGGCAGAGTCTCATCTCTGCCTTAAATCTTCCCACAGAGTTTCACAGGGCTGGCCCCTCATCATTCAATTCTCTGTTCAGATGTCACTGGTTGGATGTGGAGAAAGGAGGAAGTTGTGTCAGGATTCATCCAGGTTTCATATTTGGTTAATGTGATGGATAGCTGTTCCATCAGCCAAGTCAGGGAATTTAGGAGAAAGTACTTATCAGGAGGGAAGTGTCCAGAGCAGGAGAAAGGACAGGGGAGTCATGATTAATTCATTTATACACATGTTGTGGAATCTGTGGACTACTGAGGTAGAGTCGTTCAACACACCTTTGAGTATAGAGTTCTAGAGCTCAGGCAGATAGAAGACAAGAGAGCATCAGTATACAGATGGGAATAAAAACCCACGAGGGTACATGAGATCATCCCAAGAGGAGAAAAGAGAGTAAGAAGGAAAGTGTAAGAACAGAATCCTGGAAACACCAACACTTAAGGGACAGCGGAAGTGAATTCAGTGATAGGAACTAAGAAAGAATGGCCAGATTGCAAGAACCAAAAGAAAGGTGTCAAGAGAAGATTCCTGGTGTCAAGCACAGTAGAGGAGTCAAATCATATATGCGCTAAGAAACTGAATTGTATCCACTGAATGATGTCCTTCTCCACTGTAGTCTTAGTAGTGTGACAGGAATAGAAACAAGTGGGTTAAGCAAAGAGTGATACGGAAATACGTATACATGCTTTTTTTCTCCTAAGCTGGGGGAGAGAAAATAAAGCAATAACTACAGGAAGGATTAAGAAGCTAGGAGGGAGCTTTTAGTAAGTAGAAGAATCTTGGGTATGAGAAGCCTGTAACAAGAGAGACCAAGCAAAATTACAGATGAGAGTGCAAACGCTAAGTAAGGTGGAAGGAAATGATGGAGTCCAGTACGGGGTGACTGGTGTTCAGTGGGAGAAAGGCACCCAAGACCAGGAGAAATGACCAAGGTGGGTGCAGGTAAGCCCAGAGGTGGGGGCAAAGGGAGAGGCGAGAGAAGTTCTCAGTGTTCTCAGTGGAAAGGGTTTTTGGGGATATCAAGGGACTGGAAGGTGAGGCTGAGCAAAGATAACTAAAAGGATGACTTAGGAGCTTGGTTCAGGAAACTTATAGGTCTAGAAAAGAAAAGTAATTTAAGGTTGCCTTGCTGGTTACTGCCTAGGAATATGGCAGCAAGAGGAAGGGGGTTGGTTTAGAAAGGGGAACTAATATGTCCTGAGTGTCTATTGTGCCCCAAGCCCTGTTCTTGGTATCTTATATAGAGTTCTTTACAGACAGTGTAATCCTATAAGGTACCTATTAATATCCCTGTTTTGTTGATGAAAAGGTGAGATTCCAACAGGCTAAGTAACTTGTTTAAGGTCATAATGCTAATAAGCATTCAAGTCAGCATACAAATCCATGTCTTTTGACCACATGCAAGTAGCAGTCCTGGGGACAGTCTAGTCCCCTTTCCACTCCACTACATTTTTTCCCCTTGGTACTTATTAAGAAGAGTGCTGTTGCCTGGAACAACAATAACAAGTAATACTAAGTGCATTAGTGGAAAAATCAATTCAAGACTAAGACATTTAAAGTACAATATGTGGGGCACCTGGGTGGCTCAGTGGGTTAAGCCTCTGCCTTGGCTCAGGTCATGATCTCAGGGTCCTGGGATGGAGCCCCGCGTCTGGCTTTCTGCTCAGCGGGGAGCCTGCTTCCTCCTCTCTCTCTCTCTGCCTGTTCTGCCTACTTGTGATCTCTGTCAAATAAATAAGTAAAATTAAAAAAAAAAAAGTACAATACGTTAGTTCACTACAAAAAATATCCCTATCTAAAGACACAAATCCTACTGCCCTATTGGTTACTAATAGGAAAAATATTTTACATGGTTGAATGAAACCAATGATAGAAAAGTAGGAGAGAGTGTCAACTGAAGAGATTAAAGAAAGTCCCTGATGTTCCTTGCTTCTGCTCTCTTAAAGTCTGGTTGTGAGCATCTTATATTTATGATTTGTATGCAAATCCTCTGTAACCAAAAGACTTTTAAATATGGAAACCATACAAACACATACACACAAGTGAAACCACCAGTGGTGTTTACAGCTTAGCTAAGCTGAACTGCCAGGAATTCATACACACAAAAACAAAACCAGAAATGTCATAATAATTAACATATATAGCACTTATTATATATGCCGGGCAATGTTGCAGTTTTACATATCACCTGAGCCTCCCCAGAGTCCTATTATGTAGGTCCTATTATTGTACAAGTGAAGAAACTGAGGCACAGAATGATTAAGTAACTTGCTCAGTATCACACACAGCTTGTAAGCAGCAAAGCAAGCTCCAGAGTCTGTGGTCTTAAACACTATCATACTGCCTCTCATAAAATGTAAAAGGTAGTTGTGACTTTCCTTCCTCTGGAGAGCTTTGAGATTACATTTTGTAACTATTCTTTCTAAAGGGCAGAGCAATGGACAAGGTACCTCGGACTTAATGTTTTGAAATATATTAAGTTGTGAAAAAGAGAACCTGTCACACCTGAGCAGAACAGGGTGGTCTGATGTGATCAGCAGCTGCTCCTAGGGGCGAAAAATAGCATTTTTTTTTTTTTTTTAGATTTTATTTATTTATCTGAGACAGAGCGAGAGAGCAAGCACAAGCTGGGAGGAGAATCAAAGAGAGGTAGAAGCAGACTCCCTGCTAAGCAGGGAGCCCGACGTGTGTCCCGATCCCAGGACCCTGAGATCATTACCTGAGCCAAAGGCAGATGCCCAACTGACTGAGCCACCCAGGTGCCCCTAAATCCCACTTTTGAAATTAATTTATAAATACAATTCTCGGGGTGCATGGGTGGCTCAGTCAGAGTTTCCAATTCTTGATCTCAGCTCAGGTCCTGAGCTGGGCTCCATGCTGGCATGGAGTCTATTAAAAAAAAAAAAAAACTCTCTCTTAGCTTTGTATTTTAAAATATAAGGAAAATTGCCAGTGTTTTTCCAAATAGCCAGAGTCTCTTTATACAAAGTATTATATGTCAGTTTCATATTTAGCTATGTTTACATGCTCAATGACTTTTCTCAATCAAGTATGTGAATGGCAATGATTCACAATTTCAACAATTTCATGAGCACCTAATTTTTTCTAATTTGTGTGGAAGATAAAATAGAATGAAAAATAGTATTTCTTACAAAACGCTTGGAAGACTTACATAAGCAGTCCAGGGAGGGACCCAATTACTTTTTGCCACAGGAGATTCTTTTGTTTGCCTAAAAGCTCCTACCTTGTGGGCTAACTTTAAATAAAACTTTAAGGGCAGTTGGGTGGGTAAGTCGGTTAAGTGTCTGGTTTCCGCTCTGGTCATGATTCCAGGGTCTTCAGGCTCATGGTTCAGTGGGGAATCTGCTTCTCCCTCTGCCTCTGCCCCTCGGTCCCCCTGCCTATGCTCTCTCTCTGTCAAAATAAATAAATAAAATTAAAAATAAATAAATAAAACTTTAAAACATGCTATTAATGTACCTGGGAAATTTCTGTTTAAAACAAACAGTTTAAGTACTATTCCATGACTCTGCAAAGTGTAAAAGGTACAAAACTGTCCCATATTATGAGTAGCCCTGAATTTTATGATGTCTCAGCCTTGGCAGTTCTCCCTGGGAACTGCTTTGTAAGGACAATTGCTGCTTCAAAACAGCGGTCCTTGTCCAGGAGGTTAGAGGGATGACGCCCCTGCATGTAGCAGCCTTCCATATCCTTGAGATGAAGGATGTGGCCTCAATACAAATAATATAATGAGCTACATACTGTATAGTTTTTAATTTTCTGGCTGTATAACACTGATATTCCCTTTCTAATCCATTCTACTTCACTACAAACTACCTCAAATGTATTCTTGTCAACATCCTGCTCCAAAACCTTCAAGGGCCACCCAATAGAATACTGTGCACGTTAATCAGTGTTTAAAGTCCTCTCCCATGTAGCTTAAACCTACTTCCCATTATTCTGACTCTGCTTTAGTCACAATTCTTTTTTTTTTTTTCTTTTCCCCACTCATTGTCTATGCTGGAGCTACAATTCCATAGTCTACTGCTATTCCTCTGCCCATTGTTTCCTCTTTCTGAAAGAGTCTCCCAACTTATTTACATGCCAATCATCATTCCTCAAAGTTCACTCATTCAAGTCCCAGTCCCAAGAAGCCTTCTCTGAAACTGCGCATTCACTGGGATATCTACCTGAAGCTGCATTCAAAGCACTTATCATAAACTGTCTTTGATGTTTTTCTGTATCTGTTCTTTCTACCTAAAAAGATTATAAATCATCTCATAGAAGGAACTAAATCTTTAACTTCTGAATCCAGAACAGTGCCAACACAATATTCATGTCCAGTGATTGCTGAAAGGGACTTTGAACTGTGGTTTCAAAAATATCTGCAGATGGGATCCCTGGGTGGCTTAGTGAGTTAAAGCCTCTTCCTTCGGCTCAGGTCAGGATCCCAGGGTCCTGGGATCCCAGGGTCTTGGGATCCCAGGATCTTGGGATCCCAGGATCTTGGGATAGAGCCCACCCCTCTCCACCCCCCTGCAATCAGGTTCTCAGCAGGGAGCCTGCTTCCCTCTCTCTCTGCCTCTCTGCCTACTTGTGATCTGTCAAATAAATAAATAAAAATCTTTAAAAAATATATCTGCAGATATTACCAATTTGCTCGAAAGATTTAACATTTGGTTTAGACAAAATTCCACAAAGATCACAAAGTAGTTTTAAGAAGGGTATTAAAAAAACAAGGTAATGTAGCTTTAAGCTGGGCCTCAGCCTAAATAGACATCTGAGTTTTGAAGCCCATTTCTCTTATAGTAGATACAAACATGTGTAGACTGCTACTTGGAACGTGAGAAGTTACAAAGATTCTCAAAAGAGGGTAAATTAGCAAAATAGGCAGATGCTGCTTGTACGGTCTTCTCCTCTATAAACTACAAGTGGGTTAGTTTAATACATGAGAACCTAAATAATTTTTAATGTCTTCTGTATCAGTTATACTTCCAAATGACAGAGTAAGGAGAATGAAATAATGCATGATGTATATTTGTTACCAATTATGTCTACATTATGAAAGATGTAATGGTTTGTCAGTTGTCGCTGTTCTTTTCTTGAAACTGTTGGGTAGGCAGGCTCCGGGAGTGCAAGAGGACAATAGAAATGACTGCCGGGCCGCCATCTTCCAGCCTCCTCCCCCTCCCCCTTTCCTTAACCCTTGACTCTCCCGCCAAAAGGATGTATGCCCAGGTCACGTCTCCATAGGTAACCCGATACCTATGCAGGAAACGGAAGTATCAGGACCCCCCACCTCATACCCTCCGATCACCAAATACCCCACCATATATTGAAGTTAGCCCATTCCCTGCCTTGGCCCGATAAAAGACCCCCGCCGCCTCCCTCCCAGCGCGACTTCCCCCACTCCCCTTTCCGGAGTCGAGGAACCTTGCCCAAGGGTGCCCACCTCCTCCCGCGCGACTTCTCTGGCTCCCGTTCTCCTGAGCCCCGAAACTTCACCGGAGATGCCTTTAATAAATCTTGCCTTGCGCCCACCGTGCCTGGTGTTGTGTTTACCTCGCCTAAGAAACTTTACAGAAACACAAGATGGAATAAAGTGTAGCAGAATAATTTCTATTAAAAAATCTTTTACATTATTTGATTGTTTCAGATAGTTATCATTTACCAAGCTTTTGGTTCTAAATATCGATGAGAGAGAGAATTTCTCATACAAATAAGGCAGGGTCTGCCTCTTTCCATACAATTCACGGCACAGGAATTTTTTTTTAAAAGCAATAGCACTTTTAAAGCACTTTTCAAGCCAGGCACTGTGCTAACACTCTACGTGTTATTTCCTCACTAACCAGCACCACTATTATCGACATTTTACAAACGAAGAAAGTGAAGTTTTGAGAGGTAAAGCCGTCAGTCATGACTGCTACGTGGCCAGCCTGGGGCTGCCACTCAAGTTTCCCTGCTCCCAAATCTCATTCTCTGGAAATGAGCTAACATTATTTTGATTTATACAAACCCCCTTCAGGAATGAATGCGCTCACGGCGGCTGTCAGCCTTTGTATTTCCAGAATCACAGGACTTGAGGATTTGCCTTCATATTCAAATCTCTCGGGCTCTTTTGTCGTTTTAATTATCCTAAGTAAGACCCTGATTATCCCTACTTATTTTTGCAGCCCCTCCACTGGGCTCCTACTGAGCTCAAAGACAATGCTCCGAGATGGGCATGAACCAAAGTTTGTGCCTTCAAGTAGATGAAAACATACCAGATAATCAAGGTATGGGGGTTTTCATTCTTCACCCATAGCATGAATGTTTCCTACATGTGTCTTAATTATGAGACAAAGGATTTTTCAAAATCCGGAGGCAGCGTCACAAAGTTCCTACCTGTGTGATACAGTATTGGCAATATGCCTCAATTCGCGGTTCTACTACGGGATTCTAATTTAGCCGCAACTCCCCGGTGGCACAGTCGTTGATGCTTCGCATCAATTCGCCATACAGACTGATTATGTCCTACGAACAAGTTAGGGGCTGTCTCCCTAAGTTCACCCTCACCAAGGGCCGCTGACACTTCTCAGAGAACCCCCCCCCCCCATTCAGGGTGAGGTCTCCTCTAGCGACCCCATGCTTGCGACTAATGGCTGCCCCTCACCACACTGTAAACCCCAGGAAAAGCTCCACGAGAGGCCCGACAGCGCACGTTCGCGGCAGCACAGAACCACCAGGGGAACGGAACGGACGAGCGCTCCTTCGCCTCACCGCGGCCGGCGCCCCGGAAGACAGGGACGTCCTCCCCCGAGCCTCCCAAGGACTGGCTGCGGCCAAAACGCGTCAGGCCCCGCCCCGCCCGCGCGCGGAACACAATGTTCGCGATGCTCGCCGCGGCTGCACGAAAGGAAAAGCGCGACAGAAATCTGAGGTTCCGCCCGGCCGGGAGCCAGTGGCACAAAAGAGCGCTCGCGCGAAGCCCTGACGCTGAACTCTCATGCAGGACGAGATCCCTACGTGAGAGCGGGAGACACGGAGCCACCGCCCACGCGCGCCGCCCGGGCCAATCCGGGACCCGCCCTACCCACCGCGCACACGCACGCACCCACCGGAACCCTCGCCTGCCGGGCGCTGGCTTCTTATTGGCTAGGGCTTGGTGTGGGCGGGACGAGAAGAAGCCGGCTGGACGGCGAGCGTGGGTGAGAGCCAGAAACCAGTTGGAGCCTGAGTCCTGTCCCTGTAGGTATGTGAAGATTGAGGGAGTCCTGGGAGCCGAGGCTATGCTACCGTGGGGCGGGAAGAAGTGCGGCAGCGCTTGGCTGCGCCGAGCGCGCCTTGGGAGTGGTGGGGGCCGCGGGTCTGGAAGGAGGGGGGCGATGGCCGGGTTGAAGGGGGAGAGTAGAAATTGGCGGGTCTCGGGCCCGACCTCGTGGTTCAGGGAAATTTGGGAGGGTCTCACGGCCTGTCAGGTGAGGGGATGAAATAGAAGCTTGTGGAGTGAATCGTGGCGGAGAGGGAAGACTCGCGGAGGGGGCGGTAACGAGAGAGCCATGGAGGGGGCTGGAGCCGACCTCAGGGAGCCGGTAGCGCGGATAGTTCCCGAAGCGGGGAGCTTTCCGGAGAGCCGGCCTGTGCGGTGAGTGAGGAGGGCTCCGGCCTTGGGAGTCCAGACAAGGTCACGCGAGGAGACAGCGGGTGGGGCGGTTCGAAAGGTTGAGGGCGTAAAACCACACCACCCTACTCTTCTCCGGAACCGCGGGTTTCCTCCCACGCTGGGCGACCCTGTCCTACCCTGGGACGGTAAGAAGGCCTCAGGCCCTGTAGGAAGCATCTGCATCTGTGACGGAATTTAAGTTTCATCCTGCAAGCTAAGCCAGCCAGTGAGAGATGGGAAAACGGAGCGCGGGTTTAGATTGGGAGCCGCTGAAATGATTCGGCGGTGTTACTCGCCTTTCTCCCTTCCATCACGGGTGCGGGCGGCAGCTCGTTCCCCCTGTGGGGTAATCCCCACCGCAGGATTTATGCTTCCAGAAGCACGCAGGCACTTTCGAGTTTGACCGGTTTGGATGGAAAAGTTCAGACAGATCGAAGCGGCATCAGGCCCCAGCATGACACACAAGTTTGAGTCCTGTATCCCAGGGCATCTGTTACTTCCTTGTGCCGCAGAATCAATCGAAGGGGGCCTCTTAAAATACAGATTCCTTGGGTCCCCTGCTCCATATCCTCTGAATCAGAATCTCCAGGGTGGGGCCTTTGCAGCCATTTTAAACAAGCTGACAGGTGACTGATGGAAAATCAGAATTTGAAGCCCTTGTTGTTAGTAGTTCCTGTGACCAAAATGACAGGCTGTGAAGATCCTTCAGTCTGTTACATCACTTCACGCTGGACAGCTCATCCTCCCTGAGGTTTTTTCTAGGTTCCCATGCATTTGGAAAGGTCTGCAGTAGTATCTTACTAAGTTTAGAGAATATTCAGTGTTTTCAAACTGGCTTTGAATATCATCTGGTCATTGATGCCTCTTTTTGTACCTTTTCAACTTTTTGACAGAGATCTGGGTCGGTTGCAATGGGCAGGTGAGAAAATTAAAGGAAAATCTAGAAGTGGTGCGAATGAAAAAGGTCTATTCAAAGCACAGTTGAAATTGGTGGGTGAGTTAAGTCACTAGGGAAGGAAGTTCCATTTAATTTTAGGCATGACTTGCATATTTTTTACAATTGAAAGAAAGAAATTCAGGCTTCTGTTAAGAAATGAATTTTAATCTTTTTCAGATTAAGTGTATTATCAGCGTCATAACATTGGTGCTTTGGCAATATATTGTCAGTTAGAAGAACTCTGAACTGTGTGTCAGGAGATCTGGGTTCTAATCCTTGCCTGCCAGAGATACATTCTTGGTGTTGAACAATTCATATAACCCCTTTCCTTCTGTAAAATTACGCTATTGGCATGGATTAATCATCTGGGTTGTTATCAAATTATATGATTCTTAGTTACTGATCCTGGTACTTTTAAAAGTTAGCCATTTTCCATTTGTATGGCTGCAAATCATGAATGCTTGGGTCAGATGGTAATTAGGAAGAGAATTACCAAATTTTATATGCAAGGAGTGTTGTGAATATATAGTATGTTAGGTAGAGAAATAGAATTTGAATTATAGTTTAATCTGTGGTGTGAGTGTTGGACTTTTTATATCCCTCTTTTGTCTTTAAGTGTGCCACAGGGTATTCTTCATCAGAGACAGGTTATCTTTAGTCACTGAAAGCAAATAATGACCACATGGTTACCCCCACGCCCTTATTCTTACTCTAAGGATTACTTTCTGAAAATCTGATCAGATGACCTACTCATACAAACTTTAGATTCTGTATCATAGGTGAGGACTGGAGATGAGTAGATTTTCTTTTCATATATGTACAGGAAAAAGACTGCCATCCTCTGTCTTCCTGAAGGAGGGAGAAAAGACTTTTGCTCCACGGACCTGTTGAAAATTTTATTGATCCAGATGTGAGGGATTAGAGGAAAGACCACTGACTTTCTTGTTTTTAAAGATAATTCCTGGGGCACCTGGATGGCTCAGTGGGTTAAGCCTCTGCCTTCAGGTCAGGTCATGATCTCAGGGTCCTGGGATTAAGGATTTCTTTGTCAGATGACAGAATTGGATTCTTCCCAATGGGGATGGGGGCTCAGAAGGATGATTTCACTTTTCAAACTAAGCAGTACACCGCCCTCTAGAGTTGACTTTTCTTTGAGGGTCTTACCTATGGCTCACACCCCCGCAATAGCAAAGTGTTGAATGAGAGTTATTGAAGGGAGTATGATGCATGATGCACATGAAAAAACCCAGAAGTGAAGGTAAGATGTTACATGGGTAGTGGGATGGGTATTGACTTTTGAAGTTATTGTAACTGACACTAATCAGACTTGTACACTTAACATGTGTTTGACTCCCTTCTTTTATCTATGGGTAACATTTACAGGCAGTTTAAATCAGCTCAGTGAAGAGGGAATTATATACATATTTATTGTGACTAAGGTGAAACTGTTATTTTCTCATTGTGATGAAACACCTGTTAAATAGCTTCCTGTGTAAAAGGAGATGACTGAAAAAGGGAGAATGGAGTCTTTGGTCTCTATAAAAGAAGGTAGAGAGTTTTAAGAGGGAGGTCCAGGGAATGTAAGGTATGTAAAGGAAAGTAGAGCTGAAGCTTAGGAGACATTCATTCATTAAGAAGGTCCTGAGGATCGTTTTTTTGCTGCAGTGATGTTAAAAATGATAACCCTAGGTTAAAAAAACAACCCAAAAGGCTATATTATGTTCAATTGAACATAAATTATGCTTAAAAAGAGGCATTTCTAACAATAGTATTTAAAATAAAAGCTTTATTTCTTTTAAGATTTTATTTATTTGAGAAAGCAAGACAAAAGTTATTTCAATTAAAAAAAATTGGGGGCGGGGGCGCCTGGGTGGCTCAGTGGGTTAAGCCACTGCCTTCGGCTTAGGTCATGATCTCGGGGTCCTGGGATCAAGCCCCGCATTGGGCTCTCTGCTCGGCAGGGAGCCTGCTTCTCCCTCTCTCTCTGCCTGCCTCTCTGCCTGCTTGTGATCTCTGTCTGTCAAATGAATAAATAAAATCTTAAAAAAATTTAAAAAAAAATTGGGGGTGCCTGGGTGACTCAGTGGGTTAAAGCCTCTGCCTTCGGCTCAGGTCATGATTCTGGGGTCCTGGGATGGAGTCCCTCATCGGGCTCTCTGCTCAGCAGGGAGTCTGCTTCCTCCTCTCTCTCTCTGCCTGCCTCTCTGCCTACTTGTGATCTGTCAAATAAATAAATAAAATCTTAAAAGAACAAAACAAAACTTTCACTGTTATCAGCAATGTGCTGCCAAAAAGGAATTGGTTGGGGTGCCCTGTAGCTCAGTCAATTAAGCATCTGACTCTTGATCTCAGCTCAGGTCTTGATCTCAGGGTTGTGAATTCAAGCCCCACCTTGGGCTCCATGCTGGGTGTGGAGCCTACTTAAATATAAATAAATAAAAAGGAATTGGTTGTATGGGATGAACATCAAAACAATGGGGGGGGTAATACAATTCTTCCTGAAGGTAGCTACAGGTTAAAAATAGTTAATTTCTAAAAAATACTTTCTAGACTTCATGGACAACATACCAGGTTTTTAGGTGGAAAGTAGGAGCATTTTAAGTACATCCAGCCATTCAGTGTTCAAGATGCTTTTAATTGTAGAACTTCCTGGAAATTTTCTTTAAGGAGGATTCTTCAGCCACTATGTCAACCGGCACAGATGTTTCTCTTTCTTCATATGATGAAGATCAGGGATCTAAACTTATCCGAAAAGCTAGAGAGGCACCGTTTGTTCCCATTGGTAAGTTTGACTTTGATGTTCTAATAATCAGTTTGTTGTAAGCTATAAATCAGTAGAAGTGTGGTCAACTCATTCACCAGGCACATCCTGAAAGCATTTGTTTTCATATATTTTGTTCCTATGTTGTTGAAATCTGTAAGATTGCCTTGATACAACACTGTCTATAAAAATTC